CTGCTCTGCCTGTTCATCCCTTTTCCCCCAACCCCTTCAGCCACTGATCTTTTTACTAGAGTTCTCTAGGATGTCATAGAGTTGGAAACATAACAGCATATAGCCTTTTCAGATTGGCTTCTTCCACTTAGTAATACATACACATTTACCTTTATTCACTTCTTTGTAGTGCTAAATAGTATTCCATTGTCTAGATGTACCACACACCAATTGAAGGACATCTTGGTTGCTTCCAAGGCTTGGCAATTATGAATGATGCTGTTATAAACATGCAAAATTTTCTGTGTACATAAGTTTTTAACTGCTTTGGGTAAATACCAAGGAGAATGACTGCTGAACCATATGGTAAGAGTGTGTTTACTTTTTTAAGAAACTGCCAAACTCGTCCAAAGTGGCTGTACAATTTTGCTAGATCCTTAACAGTCCTTCCTCTACTCTCTCCTCACACATTTTTCTATAAGCAAGAAGCTATGTGACAACTTCGACATTTTGACTAGAACTATAGCTAGATTACTCAGCTATTTAGATACATTTTCTGTCGACCACATTACTTACTACAGGTGACAATGTTGTTAAATGTTTTGCCACTTCATAACAAAAACTTTCGTCCAGTTTCTAACATTTTTCCTCACTTCCCTTGAAGCAACTACTGTTAGTCTCCTAAAGGGCCGTCAGACCTCTGATAGTCTCCTCAAGGAACTTCAGGGTTTCACTAACACTGCTCAAAGCCTTTCCAGCTTCCATCTACTACCCAGTTCCAGAGCCACAACCACAGTTTTAGGTAGGTGTTAGGTAAGCACTCCATTAGTGTTACCAATATCTGTATTAGTTACCTATAGCTACGTAATAAATTGACACAAAATTTAGTGATGTAAAGCAATAAACATTATTTCATAGTTTCTGGGGGTCAGGAATTTGGGGGTGGCACATGGCTTTCTGAGTCAGGGATTTTGTTTTCTTTGGGTAAATCAGTGAGTACATCTTAATCAGGTTTTAAAAATTGTTTTACAAATCCTGTATTTGTTTTTAATTTTTATCTAATACCAGTCTTGAAGTCACTTTTTTTTAACTCGGCTAATCTGCTCTTTCCTGATTCTCAGTGCACCTATGGCTTAAACAGACAACTGCTGTTAACGCTTTGCGAATGAGCAAAGTGAAGACCAGGGTCTTGACTTAGATTTTACGCAAAGACTAGGAAGAAGCAGGAACAGAGGCTTGAAACTTTAGCCCAATAACTTGCCGGCCATAAAAATGGGAAAAATCGTGGGGAGAGAGAGAGGCTCAAAAGAAAAAAAACGAAATTTCCAAGTTTCCTCTGCACATTTACTCCGTTTTACCCACAGACGATCATGCTATCATGAAGAACGTCCCCTCTTTATTACTAAGTCAGGTGAATTTCCTCAGACAGGTTTCCTGTCTCCCAGACACTGGGAACACAAAAAGGAGGTGAGGACGCCTCAGGTCAGTGACTGTGAGGGTGGAGTCCGGATACCGGCAGCCTGGCTTCGGAGGCGAGCACAGAGCCTCCCCAGCGGCGTGACCTCGGGCGAGCTACTAAGCCTCTCCGGGCCTATCGATCCCCGTAGGGAAACCGGGGATGAGTTAGCAAGACCTATCTTTTGCCTTGTTTTGATGACTAAATGAGAGAGTTCAAATGAGTTAGCACGTGAATATTAACTTTTTATTTTTTTCTTAACTGAAACGTGGCAGTGTTGATCAGAGAAAACTATTTCCCCTTATAAAACAGATAAACCTCTGAAGAATTTTAATATGAGCAAATGAGACGAAAAAGGATGGGTCCCTCGCTAGCACAGCAGGAGTCTCCTGCGCTGAGGAAAATTATTTTCTCAAACCTCTCCAGGCTGCAGTTCCCATTCTCTCGCCTACACGGGCCGGAGGGGCCAGGCGTGGGCGTGAGAGCTCGGCGGGACTCCGGGCGGCAGTCCAGGCGGGAGGTGCGGGGGCGCCGGTCTCGCGGTTCCGGGTCCCGTGAGCCGGGCGGTGCAGGCCGCGCGCGGGCTCCGCCTCCAGCCCTCCCGGCACCGCCCCGGCCCCTCCTCCTCCTCCGGGCGTCCCCGGGCGCCGGCAACGATCCCGACTGCGGCGCGCGAGCCCCCGCCATGCGAGCCGTGGGCCTGGCTGCGCGCCCGGCGCTGGCGCTGATGCTGCTCCTGGCCGGGGCTGGATTGTCAGCCGCCGCCGAACCCCGAGCCCCGCCGCTCTTCAACGTGAGCCTAGACGCGGCCCCCGAGCTGCGCTGGCTGCCGGTGCTGCGGCACTTCGACGAGGACTACTTGCGCGCCGCGTTTGCGCAAATCCTTGGGTGAGGGCGGGCGCGGGATGCGATCTGCGGAGAGAGCTCCGCGGCTGGGGCTGCAGTGAGGGAAAGTTTAGACGCGCGCTGGGCTGTCACCCGATTCGCTTTGCCTGCCCCCTCTCTGCGACAGCTTTGCACTCTACCCCATCCCCCTCACCCCTGGCCTCCGGGGTAAGCAGGGGCGGCGGGGACAGAACTGGCATTTTCTGCTGCTCCGGGCAGTGTCGGGGTTGGGGGTGATCCGGAGCGGCTGGTTTGACTTTCAAGTTAGGTGTCAACAGTGGCACGCCAGTCTTCCCGCCGTTCTGGGTCAGGGCGCGCCTGGTGTCAGCCCGGCCGCTCAGCTACTGAGTAGGGGGACGCAGCGCATGCCTTTGGTGCAGGCCTCGCGGGCCCCGCAAGCTCGACCTTTGGGGACCACGGTCGCTCGCCCTACCTCCCTCCAAGTTTTCTTTTTCCCTCCTGGACGCTGCGGATTGGGTGATGTGGGGCCAGAGCTGTCAGCTCTCGGGAAGGAAGGCACCTAGCACTCACCCGTGAGGATGGGAGCTTTTGACCCACCCACCACTCCCCTCTCCCCATACACACACACTCTCTGCCTTTCAAACTCTGAGCAGGCCAAACACCCGCGTGGCTCTTCGTTTCTAGGGATACGGTCCCCAAATGGATCCACGCGTTGATCCGAAAGGCAGTCGGGGAGCTGGAGCGCTTCCTACCCCAGCCCTTCGCCGACGAGATTCGCGGCGTGTGCGACGCCCTCAACTTCAACCTGGCGGACTGCCTGCTCCTCAACCTGGCCTACGAGTCCACCGCGTGAGTGCCCCGGGTCGGTGTGGATTGACGTGTGACTTGCCAAGGACTCCTTACACATCTGAGTGAGAGGAGACATATTTTCAGTGAGATAAAAACAGGGTGGTGACTGGGCTTCCCAGAAACCTCCATTGCTTCCTTTTTGCTTCTCTGGGTAAATCTGAGTAGAAGATGGTGGACTTTCAAGGAGGAAAGCAGCTTCTCTGACCTCAACACTGAACTTTTCCTCTACATGAAGCCCGCTTTTTCCTTTACTAATTCAGGTAGCATCCCACTTTGGAAACTGTGCTCAACATACGCTTTTCCAGGAAGTTTTTGGAACGAATCCTCTCTTGTCTGGGCCCTCTTGTTAACTCAGTCTACTGCAGGGGTGGTCCCAGCACCTGTTTGCCCCCTGCAGTGATCCCTCCGTGGCTGTCATGGTAGTGATCCTGACTTCTCTTTCAGAGGCTGTTCCCTCCAGGGTTTGGGGCACAGGGAACACTGCTATGGCTAACAGAGCCAGCCAGTGTTAAGTACACAAAATAGTTCTGATAAAATGACGTGCAGAAGTGAGAGCCGCATGGAGTGTGTGGATAGTCTCAGGCAAGGAACTGGAAGCCTTGTGGCTTTCTTGGTTCAGTTACAGGTCCTGAAATTAAGACAGGTTTGACTCAGTTTCTGCCTCGAAGCGTTACTGTTTTGCCACCAGACCAGCCCTATCCAGTAACACCTTACAGATACTTGGAACTCTGGATGCCAAAAGATGATGAAAAAAAATGTATTGGAATGATGAAACCTTACCGCCCCCCTCATCTTCCCAGAACACCCAGGCAGAGTAGGTTAAGAAGCACTGTCACTGCCTTCATCTTTGGGAAAAGGGAAGACACAAATAAGACACAAACTTGTTAAACTGAAGTGCTTTTCAATTGAACCAAGTTGATTTTGCCATTCCTCATCTCCTATTTTTTCCTACCCGCATCTTTTTCCTATTTTGACATGTGGCTTTCTCAATGAAAAAAATCAGTAACCATTTTTCACTTCCACATACTTTTCTTGGAGTCACTGTGTTCAAGCAGATTCAAGCAAAAGTTCTACTAAACATTCTACCTTTCGGATGTGATATTAAGGTATATATTGATTGGCCTGAAAACAAAACGCACCTCAGACTCCACTAGCATTAACAAAGGAAGTATTCTCTTTGCGTTTCTGATGTGAAGTTTTTTGAATCAGAATAAGACTAGCTGCCCTTTATTAAGCCTACTGGACACCAGGCAATGGAGGTAGTATTACCTGGTGTGATATAGAGACAAAGCCTCAAAAGGAACAATCTGCTGAAAGTCAGGTGGATGGTGAAAGGACAGAGCTGCTGCTAGAAGCGCATGTGTCTGCAGCGGTCTGCACTCAGAGCAGAGCCCAGCTTCCCCTTGGTCACTGAGGCTCGTGGCTGCCTCATTCTAAATCATTTGGGCATGACATGGAAGTAGTGTTGTCTTGCCAATTTTGGAGAGTCATCTTTGAGAGATATTCTACACACTTTGCTTTAGCCACTTTCAATGTTTTATCAGTCCCCTCCTTGACATTAAATCTGAAGCCTTGAAAAAAAGTTTAAAGCTGACCAAGCTTCCTTTTTTAAACAAACAAAAAGATTAAGTAGCATTTGTTTTCTCCTAGTTCCAAAAGTAATAGGTGATCATTATAGAAAATTAATAAATACAAAGAAAATTAACCACAATACCATTACTCAGAAGTGACCATCAATTCTTCAGGACATTTCCTCTCAGTTTTGTTTGTGTGGGTATATGGATCTTCCCCCCATAGTACTGGACGTGCTGTATGTGTAAATACTCTTCCACATAACATTACATAGCCTCATAGAAAATGGACACTTAGACATCATAATAAGCTTCTTCCTCTTTTCCTCAAAACACTTCTTCTCTGGCTGGGAATTCTTGTGCAATTCTCTTTTGTTAGCTCTGTGCAGGAGCTATAGGGGGGACAGGAAATGTGCCAAGCCCCTAAACAGTTGTCCATTTTTTCCCAAGGAGGACAAAATGAAACATTTGTGGAACAGAATAGGTTACAAGTGACATTGTACTTGCTCTGAGAAATTCATAGAAGAGAGAGGTAAGCTTGAGCTAGCTTTGAATAGACTACTTACTGACAGGCAAAGGAAGAAACAAAGTTCAGAGGTCTAGCTGAGCCCAGAGAGGGATTTTAGATTTAGGATGAAATTCTCTTTTGGTATGTTTTCGATGCCATGTGTATTGAGGGGAAAGGTCAGGTGACACTGAAAGAACACAAATGGATTGTGTCCAGTTGTGCTTTTCATCTTGAAATGTGAATATGTATTCTTGTATAAGGTTTATATAGTGTATGTATTTATTACAAGGTAGAAAAACAGTTTTACTTTCAGGACTTATTTTTTAAATGAAAAACTCATTTTCCTTTTTCATATTTTTCTCTTCCATTCATACTGGAGTTTTCCTTTTTCTTAGATTCTGCACCAGTATTGTGGCTCAAGACTCCAGAGGCCACATTTACCATGGCCGGAATCTGGATTACCCTTTTGGATATTTCTTACGCAACTTGACCGTTGATGTGCAGTTCTTAAAGAATGGGCAGGTATAGTCTGTACAGTATAAGATTCAGAAATCAGAGAAACTTGCAAACCCCAATAGCAATAATTAGAATGGCCTGCTGCTTAAGTGTGCTAGCAGTTTAAGATACAGAAAACATCAAGTTCCTGGAAAAACAAAACCACAAGAGAGGCTTATATCAATTATGCTTATAGAAAGAGGGGTTATCTGTTATTATTGAGCATCTACTTGACAAGGTCAAGCGCTTTTCCTTAGGAAAGTCTCTATGGGAGTATGAGCAATTGTCCACCTGTTCTACTAAATCAGCTTTTTTCTCTGCTTTTCCATGTTCAGGCTGCTTCTGGAATATAGGGAGGGGCTATGGACACCCAACTTTGGGGCGTGACAGTCCTAGGTTTCGATTCTGCTTCTGTCACTTGCTTTGAGAACATGGGAGGTTCCTTAAACGCATTTTGCAGACTGTAGCTCAGATTGGTTAATAGTTACTTTATGAAGATAGTTATAAAGGTTAAATGAAGTAATCTAGGCAAAGCATGTGGCAGATGCTTGATAAATAGTGGCTAAATAATAAGTGGCCCTTCACGTTATATGCACGATTGACCATACCACCCTCATGTGTGATTTTTAAAAATTATACTTAGATCATTTTATTTCATAGTTCTTTTAAAAGTATAATCTAATATGTACTATTGTCACGTTTCTGTGTTACTGTTTAGAGAGACAGCATTAATAAATGTTCACTGGGTACACAAGGCATGTTCTTGCCATTAAACAGTGCAGAGCATGTAAAAGCCAGATTTTGGCTTTGGAGGACATTGTTTAAGGACACGGACTATGTTTTGTTCTTTGCATTTAGGGGCTGAGTCACGAATGCTAAAACTTATTTACTAAATACTCATTTGTCATCTACTTTTACAAACTAAACCTTTTTCTCATATAAAATTCAACCCATACAGAAATATTTAAAGGGAAACTTTCTCATTTTACTATTTCATTCCTTTACTTCACTGCTCTTAACAATTTGATTTATAGCTTCTGAAGAATTACTTCAGAAATGGTTTTAAGTGGTAACAATGACAGACTGTACATATATAATAAATTCCTAAAGGGAATCTGCTAAAATGTTAGCAGTTGTTGCTGAATGATGGGATAATAATTAATTTATTTACTATTTTATACTTTTCTCCATTATCTACAGTGAACAAAAATTCTTATAAAATATCTTTATAAAAGAAAAAAGTCTTACAAATAGGCAAAAGAAATGAGTGCAATATAAATAGTTGCTTCCTTTGTTTCTGTTTACCCTGGAGCTCCCAGGAGAAGTAGCCTGCTGGCGGAGCTTTGTTCTCAGGGCTCCGGTTATTATTACCAAATCTAACAGTTTACACTTGACTACTGTCTTTCCGCTGAGTGCTTATGGTCAATAAATTGTTCTGCTAAATTAAGATCAAGTTATCCACAAAATAATTTATCTCTTATTTTTACCCGGGGTTCATAATTTCTAAAGTATTTTCATATTTGGTACCACATCTGATCCTCACAGCAGCCCTGTGAGACAGGCACAAAGCAAAATGCCCACCCTCATTCTCCAGATGAGGGGCCAGGCCTCACAGAGACTGGCGTGCCCCGGGTCACATGGGGTGGGAGTGGCAGGGGTAGTCCAGAAGCAAAGTCCAGAAGGTGTTTGGCCTCCTAATAATTTTCCTCCCCCCAACTCAGCCATAGACTAATTTAGAGTCTCCTGCAGCAGCCAAAAATTTGTTCATGTTAATTGACCTAACAAAGACAATTGGAAAGCACAGACATTTAGAAATAAAGATAGTTTTTCAGAGCTGCAAGATAAAGTAGCTTATAAATTGTATCTTATAATTATTTATGATTATATATCATAAAATATGTTGGAAACTGTAGTGTGATCTTGATTTTCATTATTTTAACTTGCCCAACCCTTCAAGAGTGACACTAATGAGGGTCAGTGCATCATGTGAAGTGACCATATGGTCACTTTTTTTCCTGTGTGATTACACTTTATGCAGGCTATAGTAATGGGGTAATATCAGACCCATTTTACTGCCATGAATGGAAATGGGGAGAAATCATGGAAGCCCCTCTGTGAATATAGAATAAAAAGTCATTTATAAAATTAAGACCACTGCATTTTCCCTTGTAATTTAACCAGCTTAATTTTTACAACCAGGTGAGGTAGAAATATGTAATTGAATGAAAAAGGTTACTACTGACTTAATATTCAGTGTTTTAACCTAGGCCTGTTTATTTCTCAAAAATATAAAGACAGTAGTTAACTTTTATTGAGCAGTCTGAACTAGGTACTATTCTAAGTGCCTCTTTGAAAAATGACATCTGATATCTAAATAACTAATAGAGTTTGGTTTTTCTCCTCAGGCTACTGGAGTGGTATCTTGTGTTCAGAGCTCATTACCTTGATTTAAAGTGGGAGTGATCCTGCTAACTCATGGGGTAATCATGAGGATTGAATGAGAGGTACTTCCCAAATAAGTTTGAAAATACTTAATATTTAAACATTGCCACTGATAAACAGTCACACTGGATTTGTGGCATACATTCATTACAAAAAGAATGAAGTTTCAGTTACAGGTTAGTGAAAATAAAGATGTACTTTTTTTTCCCATTAAAAATCATGTATCCACTGAATTCTATCTATGGACCCTCCCAAGGGGGGTTAAATCTCATATAAGGTTATTTTAGATTTTTTATTCTTTTATGTTGAAACTTGTAAGAAAAAAAATCCATGAAATTGTGGGGCAAAAGAGGTGATTTCAATGTATATTTGGTTGAAACAGTCAAATGATACCTTTATCTCTTGATTTCAGGTTGCATTCACAGGAACCACTTTTGTTGGCTATGTAGGATTATGGACTGGTCAGAGTCCACACAAATTTACAGTTTCGGGCGATGAACGAGGTAATTAAAATGAACTACCAAGCATTTTTAGCCATATCCCTGTTCAGTTTTATCCAAGTACTTCATTCACTCACCTGACAGACATACAAAAGAACCCGTGGCAGGGTCGTTAAGTGGGGGCAGGCGGGCAGCGTGCACCAGAGCAGTGAGAGGCATTCAGGCCTTAAAAAGTGCTACAGAGCAAGTAAAACAGGAAGGCTAATAGAGCAGGAAGGAGGGGGTGGGCACTGAGAACAGCGAGCACATCAGGGAAGGTCCAACTCAGGTGATTCAGGAGCCTGGCCTACAGAACTGGAGCAGACCATTCCTGGCGGATTCCAGAAACAAAAGTCAGTAGGGTGGTTACATTATGAAAAAGGAGGCAGTGACATTGGAGGTGGGGCGGAAGGCTGAGGCCATGGTGAGGGTCAGAACGTGGAATTGGCTCTGAAGTGTAAGGGAAGCCCTAGGAAGATTTTAGGCCGGGAGTAAACAGATCTGATTTCTATTGCTAACTATTACCCTGGCTGCTCTGTAGAGATGTACTGTGTTGGGTTAAGATAGAAGCCGAAGACTGTTAGGAAGCTTGGCAATAATCTAGAGAACATATGATGGCATTATACAGGCAACATCAGTAGAAGACTTCACAGTTTGCTGTGCACTTTCTCATGCATGTTCTCATTAGACCCTCACGACAGTCCTGTCAGATAGGCGGGAATGCTGTTATTAACCCCATTCATAGTGGAGGAGGAAACTGAGGCGTTGAGATGAAATGACAGCTAATTGGTGAGAGAGGTGGTTCTCTGACTGATCTCCTAGGTCCTGGCCCAATTGCTCTATTTGTTTGTTATACAACCCCACTGCCATTCCCCAAATCTCAGAGGACATCATTCAGTTCCAGAATATGTGGGAAAGCTAGAGATAAACAAACTCTTGTCTCTCTGTCCTCAGGAATTTGCAGCTGAGTAGAGAAGAAAGGCACATCAACTTTAAGGTGTCTAATGTTTACTGTTGATCATCTGAAATTGATGATCTGACAAACCCCTGACATTGGCTTCGTGTTGGTGGTGTTGCCTGTGATTAGGTTTATTCTTATCTTTTTATATAAGTCTTTCCAGGAATATGCTGGTTGAGTATATATCAGTGTCCTTAGTAGTCAGTTCTTTATCCTCATGTATTCCTTAGAGATTTTCTCAAATGTCAGCTCTAAGTGCAACTGGTTCCCAATCAGTGGTACTCAAACCACAGCACAACAGTTACTAAGGGATTACAAAGAATGTCTGTAAATATGGGTATATTTATTAATAAGATGGGCCTTGTTTCCATCATTTTGTGACTCAAATTGTTTAACAAATTGATTGGTAGAACCTAAAAGATAAGCAGTTTAAGAGTAATTGAGTTATTCTGTAACATACACACTGACCCTTGAATAATATAGGTTATAATAAATACAGTTAACCCTCAAATAACATGGGTCTGGACTACACACGTCCACTTCTACATGTATTATTTTCAGTAAATACTGTGGAAAATGTTTTGAAGATTTGCATCAATTAAAAAAACATTTTCCTTTCTGTAGCTTACTTTATGATAAGAATACAGTATGCAGTACATATAACATACAAAATATATGTCAACTGACCATTTATGTTACCAGTAGGGCTTCTAATTAACAGTAGTGTATTAGTAGTTAGGTTTTAGGGGAGTCAAAAGTTATACGTGAATTTCTGACTGTGCAGAGGTCAGCGCCCCAGCCCCCTTACTGTTCTAGGGTCCACTGCACTGTCAAATTGCCTTTTAAAAACTTTTATAGCCATTTTAATGAAAACTAGTTATATGTTAGTCTGGTAAGATTGAGTTAAACTGCCTGAATCATAAAGTAACATCTCTTGGTTAATAGAGATCAATATTCAGTTATGTTCCTGGACATCATGGAGAATGCTAGCAGGGCCTCGAAGCCCCCAGGAAAGGATCAGGGTCTGAGGACCAGCTAATGCCATAGAGCATGTGGAGCTTAACAAACCACCTGGCAGTTATCACCTCCGACTCTGGAGCCAGCCTGCCCGAGATTGTATCTTGGTACCATCACTGGCTAATTGGGTCACCAGGGCCAATGTGCCTACCTGTCTGTGCTCCAGTTTCCTCATCTGGGAAGTAGGGATGGTGACAGCTGCCATGAGGTTCACATTAGTTCATGCGTGGGAAGCCCTCAGAGCAGTGCTGGGCACAGAGAAAGGGCCCTGGAAGCATTTGTTATTGTCCCATCTCCACGCCTGACCTCCCAGCCTCAGATTGGAGGGCCCCACCACCTTCTCAGCGTCCTACTTGGATGTCCACTGGGGACCTGGAGCTTCCCATGCCTAAACCAATCTCTTGCTTTTTGCTTTTCCCTGTTCTTGCCCTCACTCTGCCTCCACCCAAATCTGTTCCTCTCCCAGTTTTCTGTCTCAGGAACTGGCCTTTGTGCTCCACTGACTACACCAGAAGAATTCTTTGACCCCTCCCTGCTTGCATCTTGTCAGTGCTACCATCCTAACTGGATGTGCCTGTCACTTCCTGCCTACACTGCTGCTCTAGCTGCCTGTCTGGTCTTCCTGCACTCAGCCTCCTGTAATTGTCTCGGCCCAGCAGCCAGCATGGTCAGGTTGTCCTCTGTTGAAAACCTAAGGTGACTTACCATTTCACTTATAACAAACCCAAGGTCCTAACTCTGCCCTCAAAACTTTGCTACGACCTCCTGCGCCTCATTTTATGCCTGTTTCCTCCATCCCTCCATCTGCATCTCATGAGCATGCTGTCTTTTCCCACCGTCTGCCAAACAAAGGGCTCTGACGCCGTGCCTTCTGCCTGGAAAACTCTGTCCACCTTAGCACAAATGTCCACAACTCAGAGAGGCTGACTTCATGCTCCTCTCAAAAGAAATTCTCCTTCTTCAGTCATGATTATATTATTCTGTCTTTATTTTCTTTATTATAGTTATAAAGATCTTGCTTGTTTGATGGTACTAGTTTCTTCTGTTTGCTGTTAAATTCTAAGCATCTGGACCAAGTCAGGGTATGGCACTTTGTAGATGCTTATTTTTTATATGAAAATTTTTTTTGGAAATAAACCCCTGACAGATTTTTAGAGATGTTAAAAGTAATTTGTAGGAGTTATTGTAAATTTATATTCTTTTAAAAGTGTGAGCCTAAATCAAACTAAAAGTTCTGTAAGATACATATTCTCTACAGTCTTTGTAATACTTAGTAAACCACTTCTCTTGATAGCTACGTAATTTTGTTTTGCCTGGGTTAGTTGAACGAATGATTTCCTTTAAAATAATTACCATTGTTTCCAAGCACAAAAGATGATATGTATATGTATGAACATGGTTTTATGGTTGCCATGAAATTTGGGCTTCATCTTTGAAAACTGGATGCTAGTAAAATCCTCTTCCACCATCCTTTCTCCACCATCAGTTTGTATTAAGTGAAAAAAAAACAAGATTTAAGGAATTTTGAAAAGTGATATTGGACAGCAGTTTGTTCATATACTTATTGTTCCTTCTTCAACTCGGCAGAGAAAGGCTGGTGGTGGGAGAATGTGATCGCTGCCCTTTTCCAGAGACACTCTCTGGTCAGCTGGCTTATCCGCACTGTGAGTATGTTTACTGTTGAGCCCACCTCACCCTAACTTCATCTTCTAAATTGTGTGTCATGTTGTGATGCTCTGTGTCATTTAACAAGTGTTTTTAATGTAAGAAACTCTTGAAAGACTAAGCATCTAAAGGTTTGCAAAATGCATATCAATCTTTGTGATAATAAATATCAAAGATAAACAGAGCTGGACACTAGTTAAAATGGTAGTTATAATCATAAAAGACTACATATTATAAATTTCTAGTTATAACATAAATAAGTCACTGGGGATGTACTGTACAGCATGGTGACTATAGTTGGCAATATTTTAGTGCATATTTGAAAGTTGCTAAGCGAGTATATCTTAATAGTTCCCATCACAAGAAAGAAGTTTTTTATAACGAGGTATGGCAATGGATATAAACTAGACTTATTGTGGTGATCATTTCACAATATATATAAATATCAAAGCATTACATTGTATGCCTGAGACTAATATAATGTTACATGTCAATTATAATTCAAAACAAATAAATACAATGGTAGGGACAGATTTTAATCAGTAGTGTACTATTACAATAGGGAAAAGTATGCAACGTGAACTGAAATCAGGTTTAATTTGTACAGAGATGACTGGGTGTTTTAAAGGGGGAATAAGGGACTAGGGTGGGATGAGCAGGGGCTCAACAGGGTCAGAGAAATGAAAATTACAAAAAGCAGGAAGGAAGTTGTCTATGTGAAACCTATGTAGGACTCGTAAGTGGCACTTACCAAAATTAGCTTCCTACTATCCTGCAGAGACTGGGACACAGGGGCGCTATCTTCAGGTACCTGCTGGAACAAATAGTAAATTCTTTTGGCAGCCTAGAGTTTTCTCAGTCAGGCACTGGAAGGGGGGCTGGTATCATTTTAGGGATGTTAGAAACTATGTTAGTATTTGTTCAAATCTTTATAGGCCAGCTATCAGAAGAGGGCTCTGAGGAACCTGGCTAGAGTTTGGTCAAGAAGAGAATCTTTGTCATAGGGTAGAGTTTTTCACAATAACTAATGGAGATAAGATGCCTTTCTACAGATACAGTTTCTCACAATAAATGATCAAGGTAAGAGATGAGCATATGCTTTTCTACAGATATAGATGTGCCCTCCTTTTAAAATTTCCATTTGCAAATATCCAGATTTGCAAAACAAAGGCATTAGAAGGAAGCTCTGCACACAACAAAAGGGAAGTCTGCTTTTCATGATCTATAAGACAGACAGCAGAGTTCCAGGCCGCATATAAATTGTGTAATTAGACCACAGTGAGCTCATTTTCAAGGACACAGCTCTGGTGCAAGGATCTGGCCCTGCTGGGCTTTAGCCTTTTTGGCCCCTCCTCACCTTGCTGTAAATGATCTCTGAACTTGGAATTCTCCTAAACATTTTTAATTTTAGATAGAATTTTCATATAATGAAATGCACAGATCTTAAGGGTTTAGTTTAATGTGTGTAACGATTGCACACAGTTATTCACCCATCTATATAACCACCAGCAAAACAAGATTCAGAACATTTGCAAGTCCCTGGAAATTTCCCTCATGTTCCTTTCCAGTCAATTCTGAACCTCCTCTGACGCCGTGCCTGCCCCAAGGAAACCATTCTTTGACCTCTATCACCACAAACAAGTTTTCCTGTTCTAGAATTTATAAAAATGAAATCATAGTGTACAGTCTCCTTTTCTTTTACTCCTTTTCTTTTTCTGTTGTTTGTATCACCTGCTCATTCCTTTTAATACTGAAGAATATTCAGTTGTATGAATATGCCCCAATTTACCCATTTTCCTGTTAATAGACATTAGGTTGTTTCCAGTTTGGGCTATTATGAATAAGCTTCCATGAAAATACCTGTCCAAGTCTTTTTGCAAAGATTTGCATCCATTTCAGTTGGGTAAGTGCTGAAGAATGGAATTGCTTGGTCATAAGGTAGATGTATATTTAACTGAGGTATATTGTCATACAATTGATGTATTTAAAGTACACAACTCACTGGTTTTTAGTATAGTCACAGAGTTGTATAATCATCACTACAATCAATTTTAGAACATTTTCATTCCCCTAAGAGGAAGCCCTGTGCCCATTAGCAGTCACTGCCCATTGCCTCCATTTACAGAGATAAGCTGACAAGGTACCTGTCTGACCCTGACTTTGCCACCTGAATGAAGTAACTCTCCACTGCCTTTGGTGTTTCTTACTGCTGTTCTTTTGCTTTGTTCTCACAGAATTATGTTGGGGCAACGAGTTCTTTGATAGTAGCTGGGGGATGGCACAGGTGACATAACCAAAAAAGTTCCATCACTACCATTGCCTCATTTTATAATTTTGCTGAGTTCAGAGCAAACCCACTCATGCCTGCATACCTTGCCCCTAAGAGCAGTATGTATAAGGCAGGGAACCGTCCACAAAGCCCTGCCGGGGGTTGATGGGTTGTAGTGCTGAATGACGGAGGCTTTGCTGACACTAATATTTCTAATCGTCCTTTTGTTTGGCCCTGTCCCCTCACCCACCCTTGACACTGTGCCTCAGCAGCATTCAGGATGAGTGCACAGAAAATGTACTTTCCCAAAGCGGTGGAAGAGTGATTGTAGAGATGCAGATGGGAAGGGCAGGCATGCTACCACAGGATACTCTTGAGCAGAGCAGCCTAAGAAGCCCATATGGAAACTGCAGATTTGGGGAGTGATCCCCTTCACTATCCATGCCACATACCTTTGAAGTCTTCAGGAACCCCCAGGAGTAGCTGAACACCAGTTGAATTCGCTGCTCTAAGGTAGCATGCTCTCAGCCATCTCCAAGCCTTTGCCAAACTTTGCATGGCACTAGAACCCTCTTCTCTATTCCCACTCCCAAACCCAAACCCAGCACTTTCACCTGTCTGACTTGTCTGCCCCTTTGGCCCCGGCCCATGCAGTTCCTCCCTGGGCTGCCTCACTGATGCCCTGGGTGAGAACAGCGCCCCTGCCTCAGCCTCCATCTTATTGCCTCCCATGGTGATCCTCACTGCACTGTCAGCTTGGACTTCCCTCTCATCCCTGACACTAGAACACATCTGGGTAAGTTGTGTTTACTGCTCTGTCCCCACACCAGCCAGTGCCTAGCACATAGTAGGTATCCAAGAAATATCTGTTGAAAAGATGAATGAAGAAACATGGGGAGTCCTTTGCACAAGAGTGACCTGGTAGAGAGCATGCAGCCCATATCTGGTAAGCTGGGCTTGGAACCTGCCAACAGTTCTTTTTTTGTGGGAAATATCTGTTTTCCTGCTCTATTACCTTCCCAGTGAGGCTTTTTCCATCTCATGACCCCTGATTACAAGAGGGTGAGGTCAGAGCAGTTCAAGATTGTAGCCATGGCTAAGTACACCTGGAGAATGTGCTTTGGCCCATTTGCACATCACCTGGTGTGGAAACTGCCATGTATGACAATGCTAACGCAGCTTTGTCTTTTTGTTTAGACCCTGAGTGAGTCGGAGAACTTTGAAGCGGCTGTTTACCGATTGGCCAAGACTCCCCTTATTGCTGATGTTTATTACATTGTTGGCGGTACGTTCCCCCGGGAGGGGGTGGTCATCACGAGGAACAGAGATGGCCCGATGGACATTTGGCCTCTAGATCCTTTAAATGGAGCGTGAGTAGAATTAAAGAGTCTGGTCATTTTGTATCAATAATCTTTTTTTTTTAATTGATGAAACTAAAGGTTTTTTTCACTAGTAAAATGAGAGGTATTTTTAATTTTTATGTACTTCTTTAGCTATGTCCCAGGTGACCTTGGATAAGATGATGCCGTACTGTGTTGTAGGTGGTTCCGAGTTGAGACAAATTATGACCACTGGAAGCCAGTGCCTAAGAGCGATGACCGAAGGTAGGCCACTGTATACATCCTGGTTTGCAGTGTTTTCTTGTACAAAAGATGATATGTATATGTATGAACATGGTTTTATGGTTGCCATGAAATTTGGGCTTCATCTTTGAAAACTGGATGCTAGTAAAATCCTCTTCCACCATCCTTTCTCCACCATCAGTTTGTATTAAGTGAAAAAAAAACAAGATTTAAGGAATTTTGAAAAGTGATATTGGACAGCAGTTTGTTCATATACTTATTGTTCCTTCTTCAACTCGGCAGAGAAAGGCTGGTGGTGGGAGAATGTGATCGCTGCCCTTTTCCAGAGACACTCTCTGGTCAGCTGGCTTATCCGCACTGTGAGTATGTTTACTGTTGAGCCCACCTCACCCTAACTTCATCTTCTAAATTGTGTGTCATGTTGTGATGCTCTGTGTCATTTAACAAGTGTTTTTAATGTAAGAAACTCTTGAAAGACTAAGCATCTAAAGGTTTGCAAAATGCATATCAATCTTTGTGATAATAAATATCAAAGATAAACAGAGCTGGACACTAGTTAAAATGGTAGTTATAATCATAAAAGACTACATATTATAAATTTCTAGTTATAACATAAATAAGTCACTGGGGATGTACTGTACAGCATGGTGACTATAGTTGGCAATATTTTAGTGCATATTTGAAAGTTGCTAAGCGAGTATATCTTAATAGTTCCCATCACAAGAAAGAAGTTTTTTATAACGAGGTATGGCAATGGATATAAACTAGACTTATTGTGGTGATCATTTCACAATATATATAAATATCAAAGCATTACATTGTATGCCTGAGACTAATATAATGTTACATGTCAATTATAATTCAAAACAAATAAATACAATGGTAGGGACAGATTTTAATCAGTAGTGTACTATTACAATAGGGAAAAGTATGCAACGTGAACTGAAATCAGGTTTAATTTGTACAGAGATGACTGGGTGTTTTAAAGGGGGAATAAGGGACTAGGGTGGGATGAGCAGGGGCTCAACAGGGTCAGAGAAATGAAAATTACAAAAAGCAGGAAGGAAGTTGTCTATGTGAAACCTATGTAGGACTCGTAAGTGGCACTTACCAAAATTAGCTTCCTACTATCCTGCAGAGACTGGGACACAGGGGCGCTATCTTCAGGTACCTGCTGGAACAAATAGTAAATTCTTTTGGCAGCCTAGAGTTTTCTCAGTCAGGCACTGGAAGGGGGGCTGGTATCATTTTAGGGATGTTAGAAACTATGTTAGTATTTGTTCAAATCTTTATAGGCCAGCTATCAGAAGAGGGCTCTGAGGAACCTGGCTAGAGTTTGGTCAAGAAGAGAATCTTTGTCATAGGGTAGAGTTTTTCACAATAACTAATGGAGATAAGATGCCTTTCTACAGATACAGTTTCTCACAATAAATGATCAAGGTAAGAGATGAGCATATGCTTTTCTACAGATATAGATGTGCCCTCCTTTTAAAATTTCCATTTGCAAATATCCAGATTTGCAAAACAAAGGCATTAGAAGGAAGCTCTGCACACAACAAAAGGGAAGTCTGCTTTTCATGATCTATAAGACAGACAGCAGAGTTCCAGGCCGCATATAAATTGTGTAATTAGACCACAGTGAGCTCATTTTCAAGGACACAGCTCTGGTGCAAGGATCTGGCCCTGCTGGGCTTTAGCCTTTTTGGCCCCTCCTCACCTTGCTGTAAATGATCTCTGAACTTGGAATTCTCCTAAACATTTTTAATTTTAGATAGAATTTTCATATAATGAAATGCACAGATCTTAAGGGTTTAGTTTAATGTGTGTAACGATTGCACACAGTTATTCACCCATCTATATAACCACCAGCAAAACAAGATTCAGAACATTTGCAAGTCCCTGGAAATTTCCCTCATGTTCCTTTCCAGTCAATTCTGAACCTCCTCTGACGCCGTGCCTGCCCCAAGGAAACCATTCTTTGACCTCTATCACCACAAACAAGTTTTCCTGTTCTAGAATTTATAAAAATGAAATCATAGTGTACAGTCTCCTTTTCTTTTACTCCTTTTCTTTTTCTGTTGTTTGTATCACCTGCTCATTCCTTTTAATACTGAAGAATATTCAGTTGTATGAATATGCCCCAATTTACCCATTTTCCTGTTAATAGACATTAGGTTGTTTCCAGTTTGGGCTATTATGAATAAGCTTCCATGAAAATACCTGTCCAAGTCTTTTTGCAAAGATTTGCATCCATTTCAGTTGGGTAAGTGCTGAAGAATGGAATTGCTTGGTCATAAGGTAGATGTATATTTAACTGAGGTATATTGTCATACAATTGATGTATTTAAAGTACACAACTCACTGGTTTTTAGTATAGTCACAGAGTTGTATAATCATCACTACAATCAATTTTAGAACATTTTCATTCCCCTAAGAGGAAGCCCTGTGCCCATTAGCAGTCACTGCCCATTGCCTCCATTTACAGAGATAAGCTGACAAGGTACCTGTCTGACCCTGACTTTGCCACCTGAATGAAGTAACTCTCCACTGCCTTTGGTGTTTCTTACTGCTGTTCTTTTGCTTTGTTCTCACAGAATTATGTTGGGGCAACGAGTTCTTTGATAGTAGCTGGGGGATGGCACAGGTGACATAACCAAAAAAGTTCCATCACTACCATTGCCTCATTTTATAATTTTGCTGAGTTCAGAGCAAACCCACTCATGCCTGCATACCTTGCCCCTAAGAGCAGTATGTATAAGGCAGGGAACCGTCCACAAAGCCCTGCCGGGGGTTGATGGGTTGTAGTGCTGAATGACGGAGGCTTTGCTGACACTAATATTTCTAATCGTCCTTTTGTTTGGCCCTGTCCCCTCACCCACCCTTGACACTGTGCCTCAGCAGCATTCAGGATGAGTGCACAGAAAATGTACTTTCCCAAAGCGGTGGAAGAGTGATTGTAGAGATGCAGATGGGAAGGGCAGGCATGCTACCACAGGATACTCTTGAGCAGAGCAGCCTAAGAAGCCCATATGGAAACTGCAGATTTGGGGAGTGATCCCCTTCACTATCCATGCCACATACCTTTGAAGTCTTCAGGAACCCCCAGGAGTAGCTGAACACCAGTTGAATTCGCTGCTCTAAGGTAGCATGCTCTCAGCCATCTCCAAGCCTTTGCCAAACTTTGCATGGCACTAGAACCCTCTTCTCTATTCCCACTCCCAAACCCAAACCCAGCACTTTCACCTGTCTGACTTGTCTGCCCCTTTGGCCCCGGCCCATGCAGTTCCTCCCTGGGCTGCCTCACTGATGCCCTGGGTGAGAACAGCGCCCCTGCCTCAGCCTCCATCTTATTGCCTCCCATGGTGATCCTCACTGCACTGTCAGCTTGGACTTCCCTCTCATCCCTGACACTAGAACACATCTGGGTCAGTTGTGTTTACTGCTCTGTCCCCACACCAGCCAGTGCCTAGCACATAGTAGGTATCCAAGAAATATCTGTTGAAAAGATGAATGAAGAAACATGGGGAGTCCTTTGCACAAGAGTGACCTGGTAGAGAGCATGCAGCCCATATCTGGTAAGCTGGGCTTGGAACCTGCCAACAGTTCTTTTTTTGTGGGAAATATCTGTTTTCCTGCTCTATTACCTTCCCAGTGAGGCTTTTTCCATCTCATGACCCCTGATTACAAGAGGGTGAGGTCAGAGCAGTTCAAGATTGTAGCCATGGCTAAGTACACCTGGAGAATGTGCTTTGGCCCATTTGCACATCACCTGGTGTGGAAACTGCCATGTATGACAATGCTAACGCAGCTTTGTCTTTTTGTTTAGACCCTGAGTGAGTCGGAGAACTTTGAAGCGGCTGTTTACCGATTGGCCAAGACTCCCCTTATTGCTGATGTTTATTACATTGTTGGCGGTACGTTCCCCCGGGAGGGGGTGGTCATCACGAGGAACAGAGATGGCCCGATGGACATTTGGCCTCTAGATCCTTTAAATGGAGCGTGAGTAGAATTAAAGAGTCTGGTCATTTTGTATCAATAATCTTTTTTTTTTAATTGATGAAACTAAAGGTTTTTTTCACTAGTAAAATGAGAGGTATTTTTAATTTTTATGTACTTCTTTAGCTATGTCCCAGGTGACCTTGGATAAGATGATGCCGTACTGTGTTGTAGGTGGTTCCGAGTTGAGACAAATTATGACCACTGGAAGCCAGTGCCTAAGAGCGATGACCGAAGGTAGGCCACTGTATACATCCTGGTTTGCAGTGTTTTCTTGTGGCCAGGAGGATGTGCACCTCCTGTTGCAGGAACTGAAGAGGACTACAGGTGCGGGCCCCTCCCAGAAAATGTACCTGGGCCCTCCCCAGCGCCTTGGTTGGATGGGAGCATGTACTGTGTGGAGAGCTTGGCAGTTGGTGGGTATTGGCGCTGGGGAGTAAGGATGGCCATGGTCTCAGCTCAGGAGCCCCAGATCCACCACCAGCTCTGCTAATGGCTCACTGGCTGGCCTCTTGGGCCTCTGTTCACTCGTCTGCCAAAAGAAAAGAATAAGAATCATGGTTTTCTATGCAAGACTTTTTTTTAGAGGGAAAACATTTTCCCAAATTAATAAATAGACCAGTTGGGGCTTTCATTTTCCCTTCTACATTTGAAGATTCTAAATCATTGTATCCGTAAAGAACAAGTAGTTATATATTTCCCCTTGGCTTCACTGCCCATATGATTGGTGGCAGTTATACTCTACAACTCTAAAACAATTCACCGCAACTTTCTTGAGCAGATGTGACAACCAGCCCCACTGCTGAATTAATTCCACCATTATGGTCTGGGACTAGGCAGGAAACAGGGTTGGCAGCCAGAATCTGTTTTTTGGAAAAGGAGGTAATGAGGCCAGACCCTGCACTGAGCATCCAGAGATGAGAACTGTGGGCTTCAGGGTTTTCTGAAGTGCCAAGTGTCCTCTGTTGTCCTTCCAGAACACCTGCCATCAAAGCCCTTAATGCCACTGGCCAGGCGAACCTCAGCCTGGACACGCTCTTCCAGGTAACTTGTAATAGTGTCTAGTTTTAATTTTACTCAGGATGTTTAGTGTCTTTGTTAACAGTGATTTTTTAAAAATTCTCTGAAATCAAGCAAATGTGGTAGATGAAAATGTTTGAATAAAATTTTACCTGGTTGACAAAAGTTGTAAAAAGAAAAGCTAGATGACATTTTCTGAACTTATTTCTGTAGAGGTTACAGTACCCCTCTTTTCCTAAGTTTTTCTGCCTATTAAAAAAAGGCAGAGCTGTAACATATAGTTATTGTTTTAAAAAGAAAGAGAAAGGATCCAAAAGCCTGTAACTCTGGCATCCAAGATACACTAGACTGTTAAGTGGCTATTTCTTCCTACAGATATTCTACGTGTATTTCTTCTACCTTTTACTAGTCTTTGTAATATGATTTTTCCCTCTCCAGGTTTTGTCAGTGTTCCCGGTTTATAACAAGTAAGTGCTGCGTTAGACAATCTGTCTGTCACTTGTGTGCTCTTCAGCTCTCAAGGGCCCCTGGGCTCCTACAGACGCCCCTCTGGGCACTGCGGGTACAGCAGGGAGCCACAGTCGGCTCTCGGGGGACAAGCACTTCACAGGGAGCTGGCAGGAGGCAGCACGGGGCAGACAAATATATCATAAGTCACGTGAGAAATCCATGGAGAAAAACAGAGTGATCCGGAAGGAGGAGGACAGGGACGTGCCTATCCTCTATCAGTCGGGTAGCTGGGGACTGCCTTCACCAGCCACGAGCTCCTTAATGTCACTCCGCTAGAACTAAACTCTAGGCATCTTTGGCTTTCTTTTATCTTCCCCAGGAGTTTCTGCTACCCCCACGCTCATTCCACAGATAATGCAGTGTCTAAGCTAATGTGTGTCCATTAGCCTCACCATCACCCTGAGGGTGGCATCCTGTGAGCAATGGCTTCTCGGGCCTGCAGCCCAGGATTGCCCCCACATACTCTTCTGGGGTGCAGCCCCAGGCCAAGGGCTTCCTGCCACTGCCACAGGAAGCTCTTGGTGAAACTTGAGAGGCAGCCACAAAACTGTACAGGAAACTCTGAATGTCCACTGTCACTATCACAGCAAAGCTGAAAAGGCCACCAGCCTGCTCTCCATGTCCCCCAGGGCCGTGTGCCTGACGGCCTATGCATACCCATGAGGAGGGCAGACACTGCTCTTGCTTGCTGAGGTAGGCCTAACCGACCAGAATGAAAGAGGAAGCACCTACAGGTCAATGCAGACTTTTAGCACTCTTTTACCTCAGTAAATTCCAAAACCCAGCACTTCCCACTTTCTCGTCATCCACACCACTGCGTTCTCCATGGCAAGAATATCAACATGGCACTCTTCAAGAAGTTGCCTGACACAGATAAAAAGTGTAAAATGATTTTTGGTTTCAAATATCCAGTTTTTGTCTTTGAAATGATCCTCTTTTACACAGACACAGAAGTAGTTTTCCTGATGGCCTCTAGAATAACTTTTGTATGAGTGCTTTAAGATTCCTTAGGTATAATGACATTTTCAAAACAGATTTTATTCTTTTTAATTTGTACCATCATAGGAATATGTCTTCAACATAGCTCTTCAAAAGTTTCTTCTCTAAGTATGGCTTGATAAAAAGATTAACATTAAAAATTCATTCTATAAATAATATTCTAGCAACCAAAAACAGAAACAAATTAGACAGTGTTTTACCACTCATAACAAATGATACACACTGGTGAGTTAGTAAACTGGTTCTTTGGGGTAGGGAGCAAAAAACAAACTAAAGATTTGTAGCATTTATTGACTCCCATGGTATAAATACTCCAACCTGGCTTATTTCAAGCTTAAAGTTGGTCATAAAGTTCCTGCATATTTGACAGTTGGCTCTCACCAGCCTATAGGAACCAGCTCTAAGGCACCATTGACTCTAACCCTTCCCACAGGGCACAATTCTGCTCTCTTAATATTCATTTTAAAAATAGGTATTAAAACCTATTTTTGTGTTCTTACAGTTTTTAAAATAGCCCATTGACTGTACTATACATAAGTTAAGCATTCTTCCTTAGTTTATCCTCTATTAAAACTCTTAAGCAAACATATTTCTATGCTTCTCACCCTGCTTTTGGATTATTTCCCTTGGCTGGATTCCCAGAAGTACAGTTACTGAGTTAAAGGCTATGAATGTTTAAATGGCATCTGAAATGTTTTGTAGAAATAGAATTGTTAGAAATTATAAACAGTTTATTACCAAGTAACACTTTCTCTACATTGTGTAACTGAAACCGCAAGAACTGCATTTAAATGATAATCACCACCTAGCCAGAATTCCCACAGATCCTGACTCTCAGGCCCTTTACAGGTAATGATCCCCAGCAGCTAAGGCTGTTCACCGTGTGTGCGGGTAATAGAAATGGCTGAACAGAAGCAGTTAGCTCTAGGCTGCCTCCTTGTGCTGCACTAGACAAGTACACCCACCTGCAATAGAACTCCATCTTCTGCTGTGGCTGTAAGAGAAAATATTAAAACAGTGATGGAGAACAGAATCAGGACTAAATAGGCATCCATGGCCCCCAGAAGCTCCACTATTCCTGTACGAGCTCTGCAAGTGCTCGCAGTGCTGCCCGTGCGATTCAGCTGTGGACCCCAGTAATTCTCTGTATTCCTGAATAGCCCAGCTCCACATGCTTTGAGGATACGTCTCAGCTGGTGTCCAGGACAAGAGGTGTACGAAGGGAGTGAAGGGAAGAGACCCCTAGTGTGTGTGAGCATGCGTATGCATGTGCTCAAGTTGTTGAGGTCTCTAGCTACACAGTGAGTTGAAAAAATGATGTTGTGCTTCTCATCCTTAGATCTGGGCAAATGGAGCCCCTGTCTTGATCCCTGAGCTGTAGAGGTCCCACTTGGGCTTTCCTCTCATCCTCTCTTGGTAGAAGAAATCCACTGGGCCAGGGGCATTTGCTCACCGAGTCTGGCCCAGGTACCAGGACCCTGACGTTCTCAGCCTGAGTAGCGCCAAGCCCATTTTCAGGGCCTGTGTGGTTGTCTTCCCTGGGCAGTGTTCTCTTGATAGTGGCGCACGGCTGTGTGGGCATCCTGTGTCTGGTGGCTGGCCGAGGCAAGGCTGTTTTCTGGAGGCTGTGCAGATGAAGACTAGATGTGAAGGCTGAGGAGTCCACATACATTCCGCTGTGGGGTAGGACAGAGCAAGGGCTGAGGGCAGAGGGCTGGCTCTTCCTCACTGCCACAGCATGAAACTCTGAGGAGTCTGAGAATTTTTAATTTGAACTTGACCTTCCACAGTGTTATCAAAATAAGACACTGTGTGATCACTTAAGTTCTCAAACTTAAATGTTCTGACATATGCAGGCCTTTATTTGTATTCTTGTCCTAGGTCCCACGTGTTAGGGAAGGGCTTAGTATTTTTTTCCTCTTTGGAATATTAGGGAAAATCATGTGTATATAAAAATTCCTCTTATTGTTTTCAGCTGCACAATTTATACTACGGTAATGAGTGCTGCCAACCCAGACAAGTACATGACGAGGATCCGAAACCTGGGTTGAAAGTAAGTAAGCAGAAGAGGAACTTCGCCCACGCTGTGAACGCCTTGCTGGTGTGTTGTTTTGGGGGTCAAGGTGACGGTTTCCTTGTAGAAGACAGTACTGTCCTTAACATCCTACACATGATATTTTCAGATGGGCATCTGGCATTTGATTGTCATTGTGTCAGATTAATGTCACCATCAGGTATTTATTTTGAATTCTTTGAGAGCTAATCTTCTCATGCCCAGTGCCCTTTGCCCCTATTAAAACTTGCTCACAGGGCAGGTGTTTCCTCTTTTTTTACATGGAGGAGGAAATATCTGGTAAGATCTTTGTGCCCTCAGAGTAATACTGAAGTGGCCCCAGAATTTTGCAACATAAGACAGATACTGAAGGCAAAGGACACTTTCAGAATTAATTATTTCAGACATTGGTAAGCCCTAAGATGAAGGGAAGGACATGAGGAAAAAGCAGGCATCGTTTCTTCTGTCCGTGAGATCAGACCTTCTAGACAGCCACCTACTGATAGCACACCTTTCCCTACTGCAATTCTATTTCTAGAATTCGTAAACCTAGCCTGATGTTTTAGTCATTTACTTATCATGGGAATGTTAAAAATCAGTGTTTGACAAAATCTCTGATTTGAAAAGATATAAACACTCCCATGTTTATCGCCTCATTATTTACAATAGCTAAGATACGGAATCAACCAAAGTGTCCATCAGTAGATGAATGGATAAAGAAGATGTGGTACATATATACACAGTGGAATATCATTCAATCATAAAAGAGAAATCCTGCCATTTGCAACAACATGGATGGACTTAGAGGGTATTATGCTAAGTGAAATAAGCCAAGATGAATGGATAGAGGATGTGGTACATTTACACAATGGAATACTATTCAGCCATAAGAAAGAAACAAATCCTACCATTTGCAACAACATGGATGGAGCTGGAGGACATTATGCTCAGTGAAATAAGCCAGGTGGAGAAAAACAAGTGCCAAATGATTTCCCTCATTTGTGGAGTATAACAACAAAGCAAAACTGAAGGAACAAAATAGCAGCAGACTCAGAGACTCCAAGAAGGGACTAGTGGTTACCAAAGGGGAGGGGTGTGGGAGGGCGGGTCGGGAGGGAGGGAGATGGGGATTGAGGGGTATTATATTTAGTACACATGGTGTAGGGGGTCACGGGGAAAACAGTGTAGCACAGAGAAGTAAAACAGTGAATCTGTGGCATTTTACTACACTGATGGACAGTGACTGCATTGGGCTATGGATGGGGACTTGATAATATGGGTAAATGTAGTAACCACATTGTTTTTGTCATGTGAAACCTTTACAAGAGTGTTTATCAATAATACCTTAATTAAAAAATTTAAAAAAAAAGAAGCCAGGCAGAGAATGACAAATACCACATGATTTCACTCATTTGTGGAATCTAAAAACAAAACAGCAGTAGACTAACAGACACTGAGAAGTGACTGGTGGTTATAGGGTAGGGCTTGGGGTGGGTGGGTGAAGGGGATAAAGAGGCACAAAATCTCTATCATAATATAAATTAGTCACAGGGATGAGAGTACAACATTGAGAATATAGTCAGTAGTTCTGTAACATCTTTCTGCATTGACAGATATCAACATGTGTATAAAACTGTTGACTCCCTGTCATATAGTTGAAACCAGTATAGTGTTGTATATCAACTATACTTAAAAAAAAATCAGTGTTTGAATTAAGTGCACGTATTTTTCTTTCTTCCCTTACAGATTATTTTTAAAAAATTAAACCTTGAAGAGTTGCACCTTAAAAAATAGAACAACATGAAAGAATTGTATTATTTTGTGAACAATACAAGCTCCTTCATTAAATTTCTCAACCTTGTGAAGTGGGGGCAGGAGGTCACTTTGGAGCTTATTTTGGTAAAGTGGGTATTAGATGTCTTGCCTTCGCTTCCTTCTATGATTTGCCTTGATGCTATCTAAGCTTCATCCTGGCTGGAACAACTAAAAGATAATTTTCTGAGATCTTTATTCCCAGCTTCTCACAATAACATATAGCTGTGTTGTCAGACCTCAACTCACAAATGAGCTGACAATGCCTCTTTATTCATTATGAAGTTTTTCTGGCAGAGTCTTTTAAAAAAAAAAAGATTCTTCTAAAAGAAATCGAGAAACTGTAGTTGAATAGAGCCTGTTGGAATGTTTGTTAGTCTGACTTTTGATCATGTATTTACATATGATGTGATTCTCCTTTTTTATGTTTCTAATTTTAAAAAATTGGATGGATCTCCTTTTTTGAAATAGTTACTTGCTTACTACTTTTTGAAAGCAATATGAAACCAAATTATTTCTGATTGTCATTAGTTAATAACATGTTGAAGGAGATGTTGGCAAGGAGAATAAGAACTTTTCCAATATATATAGTGTGGTGTTTTCCATAAGTTTGTGCCTCGAAGTTGTGTGGTTCTGAGGAGCTCTCAGAATGTCCTGATAAACAGCTCTCATCAATGTGAAGTTGTAAGTATCAGTACTCAAAGGAGTGCTCAGCTGCTTTGCTGAATTCTTTTTTTTTCACATCATATATGAAAGAAAATTCTTTGAGCATGAGGTCAGAAAAGGTTAAAAGCATGGACAATGGAGCTGATTGGATGTTCTTGTTTAATGTACCAGCACAACAAAGGAAAATGAAATGTCTAGAGGGAAATATTAGGCAGGTAGAAGTCATCCTCGCCCCACCATACTGCACACTCTCTTGCGGCCCCATTCATATTTCTCCTTGGACAATGTTGGGTCAACGTTGTTAAATTTCTGTCATCCAGTGCCTTTTTTAAAATCAAATATCAAGAATAGTTTACTCTGTCAAACATGTTATAATATGATTAAGTCTTAAAATTTCTACTCATTAGTTACATTCTATTCTTGTTTCCTTGAAAATACACCGTGAAGCTTGGATGGAAATTTTAACTAGGCAAAGTGAAGACACTGAGGGCCAGGAAGCAGGCAGGTGATTTAAGTAATCTAAACCTGGGGTTGCTTTTAAGATCTTTGGGCCATGTGGTGTCACTACAAGGCCCCTAGATGTAAATTTCTTTTTATTTAGCCTGCTTGGGATTGGTTGTGCTCTCCAAAATTAAAATCTATTTCTTTTATTCAATTTTGGAAAATGTTCAGTTATCATCTCTCCAGGAAATGTTCCCCTACATTTTCTTGCATCTTTTCTCCTGAAATCCAAGTATGTGTGTTGTACCTTCTTCCATCCTTGTAGGCTCTTAGCCCCTCTGGTATTTTAGGAGGGGTAGACAAGTGAAGAGGTGGACTTCTTTCACAATGTTCTATTCCAGGTAATTTCTTAGATTTTTTTTTTTCAGTAAAATACAGAACATTTCTTCAATGGATTTATTCAGTTTTTAGTATCAAGCATAATATTTCTATTTTAGATGGTCTGGTACTTTTTTTATTCTGCTTTGATCTTTTTTTGATAGCATCTTGTTCCTTGCTTTGATCTTTTGGTAAACTTCTTAACCCATATATATATATATACGGCTTCACACACACACACACACACACACACACACATACATACATACATATATATATTTGTATTCTGCCTCTAAATTCCATCATCAAGTTCTCGATGATGTCCAGTTTTTCTGACTGTTCCCCATGAAGATTTCTGTGGTGTTTTATGATTTGGGGTTGTGTGCCTCTGGAATCCTGGGCAGTGCATGCTCGAGAGAGAGGGTATGTGTTTGTTAATTTCTCAGCCATCTTGTGGTTTCTTTATGCTAGCACTGGACTAGCATAAATCTAAGCCTCAATTTGTATTGTGCAAGGGCAGGCCTGTGGTTACAATCCACAGAGAAGAGCCCTGCCCTCTGCACAGACAGACCTTTTCAGCTCTTTATCGTGTGTATTCAAGTTCTTGTCCCTTTATCCTCCACCTCTCAAGGCAATTGTCAAACACAGGTTCTAAATTACTGGAACCAGCAGATGTCCTTAGAGCCACAATGGCTTCAGCGCCTGCTTATCTCTAAGTTTCCTCTTTATTCCCTCCTCTCCCTTTACTCCATTGTCTCCAACTTTACTTCCTTACTTGCAAGCTCAATTGAGTATTATGCACATAAGATGTTTATCATTTCTAGGAGGTATGTAGTAGGAATGCTTTTTAAGGATATTCATCCCTTCGAAGTAACTAGAAATCAAAGAGCTGTATGTGAGATTTTTATTTTTTTAAGTTCATCCTGTACAAGTATGGAGAGTGCATTGGTGGGGGCGGATGATGGAAAAGTGAAAACTAGTTAGGGCTGAGATTAGAGTAGAACAGATGAAAAATTAAGATGGATTTCAAAACCTAGAAGTGACCTAAATGACCATCAATAGAAGAATGGATAGAGAAAATGTGGTCTGTACATACAATGGAACGTTATTCAGCCTTTAAAGAAGGAAATCCTCCAATCTGTGACAACAGGGATGAACCTCAAAGGCATCCTACTAAGTAAAATAAGCCAGTCCCAGCTGAGGTTGATGGGGTTCAGGACATGCTGCTGCAAAATATGGCACCTTGGTGAATTGCAGAGTTTAAGGTGAAAGAGTTTGAGGAAACAGCAGAAGCAGGAAGGTCATTCTGACCTTTCTCATCAACCTTCTTCCCTGGAAGGGGTCCCAGACCCCTCAGGCAGAGGTGCCCTTCCTGCACTGGGAGGGCAGGAGCATCCTTATCTTCAAAGACAAAGGAATACCACGAGGAATCCTGCACACAGGGCTTGCTCAGTTTCCCCCCATTTGCTACCTTTCCCTCACTTTCCTTTGCCTGCGATATTGCTCCGCAACTGTCCACCCTCCAGCAGACCTGGCAGGACCTACTCTGGTCTGACTCTTTGGGTCTTCATTTCCTTCCTTATGGTGGCTCCTTGTCACAGAAACTTATTTTGAATTAATTGGGGTGCTTTTCTCCGGAAGCTCTGTCAGTTTAATTTTCAAGGGTCCTAAGAGGGTCAAGGAAAACTACCCCCCTACAAGGTCTCTAGCAGAAATCCGCAGAAGTCAGAGGCTAGGGACAGGGGACATGGGAAGTTGCTATTCAACATGTATAAACTTTAAATTACACAAAATGAGTTAAGTTCTAGAGACCTGCTGCTCCACATCGTACCTGTATATTATACTCGAGTGCAGTCAGCACAACTATATTTCATACTTAAAAATTTAAGAGGGCAGAGTTCCGTGTTGTTATCACAATAAAGTTTTTTAAAAAGCAAATATTTGAAGGTTTCTTATGTGGAAAATGAACACAATTTGTTCTGTAGATACACATGGGGAGAAGCTAAGGACATGGTGTAAGAATAGAAATAGGTTAGCATAAGCATAGCCATCTTAAAGGCCTAGAAGCCATTTCTGAGTATGTGACTTAGAAAGAAAAACTGGAACTGGGTAAGGCCTTGAAAAACAAGCTAATCATGAACACCAGATGGTGGGCAGCTGTGGCCTTTAGTCAGCTAACCTTGGTCAGCTAATCCTACATACCAAGCTTATCGTGCAGAACCTCCCTGACAATTGAGGAGTGGTCTTATCTTGCTCCTGCCTAACCCCAGGATGTATGTCTTGCAAGAATAATGTGCAGCTGTGGAAAATTACTATGAGTTAAGTGTTTTGAAAATGCTATATAAACCCTTGGCTTTGAGTGCTCGGGGTCCTTGTTGAGACCCGCTGCATCGGGCTGACTTGGACCTCAGCTAGCTAGCTGAATAAAGACTTTGCTTGAATTTACATCTCTATGCCTGTGTAGTTTGTTCTCTGGGGAAGCCTCGGAAGCCTGGACCCTAACAATGGTATAGTTAAAAGGATGCAAAGAGAAAGAAAACATCCATGCTATAAAAATTTGATCTCCAAGAAAAAAAATTTATGATATTCTAGGATTTACAACATTTTTATACATGTTGATATCTTAATGAATTGTCTCCCAGTTGATTTAGAATTTTAAAAAGGACTGTTTACTTCTTTAGAACAAGGTATATAATTTTAGGTTATTTAACTTCTCTTGGACTCACTTTCCTCATTGTACCATATAGTGTTGAGACAGGGACCATGAGCTTAGACAGAATAAGATGAGAGCCTCTGGAAAAAGCATGGCAAGATATTTATATTCAGAGCAATGTAACTACATGCAAGGAAACCCCCTGTTAGGCACAAAGACACAAATGAGCAGGATGAAAAGGAGAAAGGGTCCCCCAAAGATGACTCAGGGAGTTGACCAAATAGAACCAGAAAGCCAGGAATGACCTAAAGAGTTAATCAGATGAAGCCACAGGGTCCAAGAATGACTCAGGAAATGTCCAGGGTCCCCCCAGGTGAGAAACATCAGGCACAGTGTAGGTCCAGGAAAAGGAAATCCCGGGGCAAAATACCCCTAAAAAACAAAATCAGTCAAAGGGAGAAATAAAGTTTAAAAACCATTTACTGGTCACAAACTGCAGTCCCAGTCCGTCTTTCTTCTCTGCTCAAGCAGCAACCACACCAGCCCTCAGCTCACTTCTCCGGTACAGATAAGCCCTCTGTTGCCCAGTTTATCACCCACTGATATGGAGATGAACTTCTCCACCCCTGAGGAAGATGCAAATATACTAACCCATACTTCTCTCCACCTCTGAACGACTGTTGATATGCAGATGTACCAAAGCCAGGCGAGATATTCTGGAAATGTTCCAATTTAACCCACACACAGTGACAGCAGAGCCCCTGTCCCCATTTCACCAATCAGAACCAGCCTAGAGAGCTGACAGTTGTCAATCAAGGACCTCTGCTCTGCCAAAAACCACATAAAAGAAGCCTCAGAATGAGCATCCATGCCTGCCTGTCTTATCTTAGGCCCGCTCTGCTACTCTATGCAGTGTATTAAAACTTACTTTGCTTTCTTGACTTTGGTCTCTCATCTCACTATCTCTGAACTTCCCTGTGACACCGAGCCAAGTCCTTTCCTTCCCAACACCCCTACCAAAACTCTGTGTTAAACATTAAGCTCTAGAGTCATTCTTCAGTGAGATCAGTCAATATTCCCCAGATAAAGAAAAGTAGCACATGTTTTTATTATGCTAATCATTTGTAATCATGTGTAAGATTCACTTTAGCATGCTAAAAGGCCCAGGCCTATGTGCTGTCTTTCCTCCTTTAAACCTGATGAAGTGATTTGCAAACTGAACAACTAATTTAGCACACAAACCCAGCCATAAACAACATAGTAAAAGGCAAGGATTGTACCTTAAAGACAAGATTGCATTTTAACACCCAGGAAGTTTAAGAAGTAAGATTCTTAACTTACTCTTTAGCAAACAATATCTCAGTGTACGTTGGGGGCTGGGCAGGCAGCCTTGTTTGATATGCTCCCAGAACAAGACATTGGTATCTCAGGGAGAAATCATCAGAGCAGGAAGTTGCTTGTGTGAAGTTAATTCTAAATATTCAGGGACCACTTAACAAGTCCACACCCCTAAGCCTTTATCTGGTTCCCAAAAATACTCAACTGCCTATAAAACCTCTAGACAATGCACCACTATGGCTCTCTTGTCCCCTCCTGGCATGGGCCAGGAGCTCTATTCTCTCATTGTATCTCCAAATAAAAGCCTCTCCCTGGCTCTCCTACTTCGGATGTTTGCTAAATTCATTCTTCAACTCCACAAACAAGAACCCTGGCTTCAGTATGATCTATTATTATCAGCGTGGCCTAGCAAAATACCTAAGCGTTAACTCCTTAACATGGTTTACCTAGTTTTAGAAAAGAAGAATGATTTTAACAATATGGGATAAGTTGTTCTGAAAGGTGTGTAATTGATAGGGTTGATTTTCCAGTATCACAACCTTACCTACACATAAGATAATTTGAATGGATTGCCTCTACCCATTTAAATTCACATCTGAGAAAACATTTCAGATGAATATTAGGGATCATTACTCAAGGCAAATAGAGGAACAGAGGCAGAACTATTGCCCATAAGGGACAAAGATAATTTAAGATAGGCATCTTCTCTTGGAAGGCTATTCCTTTCCTATCCAATTTGAGGTAATCAGGAAAAAATTTTTTTAAAGAATCCAAATATCATTGAAACTTCCTTGGTGAGACAGGGACTGTGGCCTTAGACAGAATAGGGTGAGGGCCTCAGGAAAAAGCAAGGCAGGATATTTACAGTCAGAGCAATGTAACTACATGCAAGGAAACTCTCCTACCAAAACTCTGTGTTAAACATTAAGCTCTGGAGTCATTCTTCAGTTGGATCAGTTAATATTCCCCAGATAAAGAAGAGTAGTGAAAGGAAAGGAGCGACACATAGCAGCAATTCACCGGAGAGTTCCGCTTTATTAGGGAAAGGT